TGTACCTATCTCCACCCAGGTCATCCTTATCTTAGCTCACTTATTGAAAACAAGCTTTCAATTAGCCTTTGTTTTGACCCTGTTCCCATAATGGTATTGTTTTAGGGTTTTTTTCCCCAGTGCTAGGAAGCAAGCCCAATAACCATTATTCCTGTTAGACAAGCACTCTAGTTCACTGAACTACTGAGCTTCATCCCTCAACCCCCATAAAAGTAATCTTAACACAGCAACCAGAGGAAGTGTGTTAAGAGAAGTCAGATCATGTCAGTGTTCTGCTTAAAACTATCTTGTTCTCTTAACTCCAAATAAAAAGTCAGAGTTTTAAAAGGACTCCAAAGCCTTATCTGATTTATTACTGGACTTAATTTCTTATTGTAAACGTCAGTTGTGTTGACCTTCCTGCTGTATCAGTACCCTGTGCTAAATATCCATATGACTGCCTTGCTCTCTTCCTCCAGCTAAAATAGAAACCTTTTTATAGTTCATATGTTCCCTCACATCTCACTGTGTTAAGCAATCCTATCAGACTCTGAAAATGCAAGAATCACAGTCCCAACATTTTTTAACAATGAAAAAAATTAGATTATAATTGCATTATCCCCCCTTCCCTTTCTTCTCTCCAAGTCATCCCACATACCTCCTCATTCTTTTTCAAATTCATAGCCCTTTTTCCTTGCTGTCATATCTTCATTTCTCTTCCTGACACCTACTGCTGTTTTGTTGAGATGGGGGAAGAAGGGCTGTCTCTAAGTTTTATTATGTAGCCTTGGAAGGCCTGGAACTTAGAGATAGCCCTGCCTCTGCCTCCCAAGAGCTGGGATTAAAGGTGTGTTCCTCATCTTTGACACACCTGTCACCTTTGCCATGTCTATTTTCATTGTTTTGCTTAGTATCAGACTATTTAGATTGTATGTTCCATAATAATCCAGGGATGTTTTTTGACTCACTACTAAATCCCCAGTGCCCAACATGCTGTCTTACATTTTCTAGATGCTAGGCCCTCAGAGAGTAATTGAGTTGAAAGAAAGTCTTTTTTTTTTTTTTTTTTAGTTTTTTTCTCTGTGGCTTTGGAGACTGCCTGGAACTAGCTCTTGTAGACTAGGCTGGTCTAGTACTCACGGAGATCCTTTGCCTCTGCCTCCTGAGTGCTGGGATTAAAGGCCACCAACGCCCGGCAAAAGAAAGTCTTTTTAACACAAGATAATATTTTCCACTTTAATGCTGTATTCACATGTAGGTGTTTCTTTTGTAGGAATTTTTAATTAGCTAAAATGCACAAACTTAATTAGGCAGCAAAAAAAAAAACTTGAATATGTTAAAGGAGAAAGTGCTTCAATTAAGGAAGCAATTATTGTTGGGAGATAATAGCTACTTACCTGAATGAGATGCAAACCTTTATGTAGTACATGCCTGAAGTCCCAGCTATTCAGGGGGCTCAGGCAGAAGGATTGAGAGTTCAAGACTACCCTTTGTAACTTAAGGCGATCCTATATTAAAATCAAAATATTCTAAAGTAGTAGAAATATAGATCAATGATGTAAAAAATTAGATATTTCAAAACCATAAGAAATTACCTTGAGGTAAGAAATTACATTTAGAGCATAGTAAAATAAATAAGGGAGACTTCTATTTAAAAATTGTAATCACATATAAAATAATATACTAATTATCGATATAGGAAAAGTTACATTACATGTATCAGATACATAACTTTTTAATGAGAAAAATCTAAAAAGATGAATACATGCAAAATACTCAGAAAAATACTGTAAAACTACCTTATGTAATGTAAAAGATAATGGTTTCATTATAAATTTTTCTTTTGTATTAAATGCTTATCCTGTAAAATAATTTGATATTTTTCCTCTTCCCCAACTTCTCCCAGATCCTCCCCACCTGACCACCTTCCCAGCATTAATTTCTCTCTCCCTCTCTTTCCTCCTTTACCTCCTCCCTGTTACCCTCACTTTCCTTCCTCCCTCCTCCTCCTCCTGCCCCATTCTACTCCCATATCTTTAAAAACATATCTAGATTCTACTTTTGAGGAAAAAAATGTGCATTCTCTTTCTGAATCTGGCTTATTAAAATTACAATTTTTTTGTTTTTCAAGACGGTTTCTCTGTGGCTTTAGAGGCTGTCCTGGAACTAGCTCTTGTAGACCAGGCTGGTCTCAAACTCACAGAAGTCCCCCTGCCTCTGCCTCTGCCTCCAGAGTGCAGGGACTAATGGTGTGTGCCACCACCCAGCTCACACCTCCTGATTAGAAAATACATTTCTTCATTCTTATTTTCTAATCAGGAGATTAAAAGAGAATAGGATTGTAAATTATTATTTAACCATTATAATAATTAGTTGCCAAAAGGCTGATTAACACCTCTTGTAGACTATAGTTAATTTGCTATCATTTGATTTTTAAAAATAGCTGTACTTACGCTCTTTGTCTTCACCAGTGTCTTAGTTTGCTGTCTTTCTTCAAAACTTTTACTTCTCTCTAAAACAGGCCATTCAGAAAGGCAATACAGAAGTTGCAAGAATACATGCGGAAAATGCAATCCGTCAGAAAAACCAAGCAATCAATTTCTTGAGAATGAGTGCTAGGGTTGATGCTGTGGCAGCCAGAGTTCAAACTGCAGTAACAATGGGCAAGGTAAGACTAAGCATCTGGCAATAAAATAACATTTGACTGAAGTTTGCTGAGAGTAGGAAGACTTACAGAAATAACAAATCTGGGTCTCTTTCAGGGTAGTCTACAGTGTCAATAAAGGACTTCGTGGAAAATTGGACTTAGTAAGGACAAAGATTTTGGAGTGGACTTTCCAACTGTTTTAATAGCTGTCCACTAAGAAGTGTCAATAATATAACAAAGACAGTACCTAGACCTAGAATGTGGTTTTACGGTTAAGAAAGTATTAGATAAGTTTCCTAAGTTGATATATCAATAATCTATTTATTTAAAGGATTGCAAAAGCTACATGTTACTAAATCAGTTTTCTATGACAAATAGGTGACAAAATCCATGGCAGGTGTAGTTAAATCTATGGATGCTACATTGAGAAGTATGAATCTTGAAAAGGTAAAAACCAACAATTACATTATTACACTATGTTCATATAGCATCTTTTCAGGATACATTTTTCTAATAACCATATCTTTATAGATTTCAGCCTTAATGGACAAATTTGAACATCAGTTTGAAACATTGGATGTTCAAACACAACAAATGGAAGATACAATGAGTAGTACTACAACCCTAACAACACCACAGGTAAGAATAATGTCTTACTTAGAATGGTTTCTTTTCTTTTGTTTTTTTTTTTTTTTTTTTTTTTGGTTTTTCAAGACAGGGTTTCTCTGTGGCTTTGGAGGCTGTCCTGGAACTAGCTCTTGTAGACCAGGCTGGTCTCGAACTCACAGAGATACGCCTGCCTCTGCCTCCCGAGTGCTGGGACTAAAGGTGTGTGCCACCAACGCTCAGCTCTTTTTTTTTAAGAGTGAACTTTTATTTCTCCCTCTCCCAATCTCTGCTTTTTTTTCATTCGTTTATTTAGCTTATAAATAAAGTCATGCACAATTATGATACATAATACAGTATGTTCACAATGGCATAGCTAAATTAAACCAATTAATATGTTATATCACACATATTCATCATTTTTGTTTTGAGAACACTTAAAGTATACTGTCTCACAACTTTTAAAATATAGCATATTGTTATCAACCATAGTGACAGATGCTTGTAATTTAAGCACTTAGCTCCTTAGTGCTTCGGAACTGAGGCAAGATTTCTATGAGGTCAAGACTAGCCTGTGGGATGGAATAAGTTCCAGGCCAGCCTGAGTTACATAGTGGGAACTGTCTCAAAACAACAAATCACCTGCTTTCAAAATGCAATGACTTTATGAATAGAAATCGTCTTACCTTATAGGGATGCACTGTGTCTCAGATGGAGTTAGGCAGCTTGCTACTGCTGTGCCCTCAGATTCTTGAGAATGTTTTGGAGGATAATGTTACCTAGCACCTAGTGTGCTTTGGAATTCTGGTAATATTATTGGCTCACACATGTAGAAGCTAGAGCCTGTTTCCACATGTTTGCTAATGCTCTTATATTAATAACATTAAACTTCAAAGTTCGTAATATTTGGGTAACATATTTTGTTACATATATTGTTTAATGTTTAAATCAATGTCAGTGTCCACATATATACTCAAACATTTGATAATTATTAATGGTTTAAAAATGGAAAATACTTTCTTCTAATGTTTAGAAATACATAATACTTTGCTGTAACTATAGTTACTCCTTTGTACTATAGTACACCAGAAATTCTTGTTCCAGTCTTACTGTTATTTAGTACTAATTTACTGTAACCCAATCTTTTTTTTTTTAAATTTTGGGGATGGTTTGAGACTGTGTTTCTCTGTGTAGCTAGGGGTGTGGGCCAGAATCTGGTGACAAGGAGAGGCAGTAGGGGTTATGTTGGGCAGACACCAAGGAGGGTGGGGGGCAGTGTATGGGCAGTCTTATCTGTTTTTCAGGATGCTGGCCTGACTCCTGGTGAAGTAGGAGGCTTCTACCAGAATTGTGGGCCGGGCTAAGGTGAAAAAGAGAGGAGAGGTCCTTGGGGTTGTGCTGGGCAGGCACAGGCAGGACATGGGCTGTGTGGGGGCGGCTTACCTGCTTTTCAGGCGGCTGACATGGCCTCTGATGGGGTAGAAGTCTTCCAGCAGAGGTGAGCGTCAGGATGTGGTGATGCGAGGAGGCCGAGTTGGAGTTAGGCTGGGAGAGCACATGCTGGGTGGGTGGCAGGCTCACCTGGGCTTCAGCACAGCCTTCCTTATGTTAGGAAGTTTGCTTCCCTGATTTTGTTGAAAATGTTTTCTGTGCCTTTGACCTGGGTTTCTTCTCCTTCCTCTACTATTATTTGTAGATTTAGCCTTTTCGTTGTGTCCCAGATTTCCTGGATGATTTATACCTGGGGTTTTTAGATTTTGACATATTTGACTGAAGTGTCCATTTCTTCTGTCTTGCCTTCAATGCCTGAATCCTCTCATTATTCTTATGTACTCTTCCAGTGAGGCTTACGACTGAGGTTTTAGTTTAATTCCACAGTTTTTCATTTCCCATTTTACTGCTTTTTGGGTTTTCTTTTTAAATAATTTATTTTCATTTTATGTATATTGGTGTATTGCTTGCATGTCTGTCTGTCTGAGGGTGTAAGATCCCCGGAACTGGAGTTTGCAGACAGTTGTGAACTGCTATGTGTCCTGGGAATTAACCAGGGTCCTCTGGAAGAGCAGCCAGTTCTCTTAACCACTGAGCCATTTCTCCAGACCCTGTTTGGGTTTTCTTTAGTGCCTCTATTTCTACTTTCATGTCTTGAACTGTATTTTTCATTTCAGTTTACTTTTTGTCTATGTTTTCACAGACTTCATTAAGGGCTTCTTTTATCTCTTTTTTTAAGGACCTTGAACATATTCATAATAGCAATTTTGAAGTCCTTCTCTTTTGCTTGCATTTCTCAGGGGCTACTGTTGTAAGGTGGCTGGGTTCTAGTGGAGACATACTGTCTTGGCTGTTAGTGATTATGTTTCTATGTCAGTGTCTAGGCGTCTGTGTTTGGGATAATTGTGATTCTAGGTGTTGATATCTGGTCTTTGTTGGATGTTCCATTCCTTGATTTCTCTTTTTTCTCTCTGGATCTTAGGGAAGTGTGTTGGCTCTGAGTTGCCTAGAAGGGAGTGCTTCTGCAGGCTGACGAGTTGTGGAGAGGAATAGATGGGACTAGTAGAAAAGGCTCAGAGAGGCTTCAGAAAGGGCTAAGGGGATCCTATTCACACCTAGAGATGTGGTTCACAGGGAGTTGGAGGTGTGGTAGGAAGAGGGGATCCAGCAAGTAGGTTACACAGTAAGGCCCAGAACGGTCTAGAGAGATAGGGATGAAAGGGCAAGGAGTACCCTGGGTCTTAACCAGGTGTTAGAGTCTCCAGTGAATGAAGTTGAGATAGCAGGAGGGGCACCTGTAAGCAGGTTGTTTGTTACACTGCTGAGGGTGAGAATGGAGAGATCATAAGGGAAGACCAGAGGGATAGTGTGGATCACGTCCTTGAGTCCCTGCCATGTGTGGCCACTGGAAATCCTGGGTAGAAAGTGTTTTTAGGATTTGGGACCCTTATAGGAAAGAAAGGGGATGGACTAGAGGTGGGACTGAGAGGGTCAACCTGAAGGAGGAAAGCTGGGTCTAGTGCAAGGTTAGGTGGAATCTCCAGGGAAAAAAGACAGAGAGGGAAGACAAGACCCTGCAAGCAGTCTGTTACAGGGCTGAGGATGTGACTAGGGAAATTGCAATGTTGGACCGGAAGGAAACTGAAGATGGCCTGCCTGTGTTTGTTTTCTTTATGATAGTCATTCTCATGTAGTAAGTGCTAGAATGTCAATGTAATTTTGATTTGCATTTTTTTACCTTAGGATACTATACATCTTTCCATACTTTTTTGGCCATTTGTACTTCTCTTCAAATCTTTGTGTTCAGTTCATTTGTTTGTTGTATTGATTGGATTATTTTTACTGTTTAAGGTTTTAAGTTTATATTAATTACCTGTCTTAAACACAGCTGGCAAAAATTCCCTCCCATCTTGAAGTTATCTTTTCATTCCATTCGGTTTTGTTTTGTTTTTCCCTTTGCTATACAAAAACTTTTCATTTTTCTGCAATCCTAGTTGCCAGTTCTTGTTTCTATTTCCTTCTTCAGAAACTCAATATCTATTTCTATTTCTTGAAATTCTTTATATTTTTTCCTTCCCTTTTCCACAGTTTCAAGATTCACGTTAAGGTTGTTAATCTATTCTGATTTTATTTTTATGCAGGATGAGAAATAGGAGTCTCGTTCCATTCTTTTAAATGTGGGTATCCTGTTTTTCCAGATTTCTCAGCAAAATATATAGAAATTTCTCTTTTAATTTCTGGTTTTGGCACCTCAAGAAAATTAGATGGCTAACGTGGTGTTTATTTCTGTGTCCTTTATTCTTTTGTTTCCTCCTCTCCACACTTACTCTTATTCTTCTTCAGCCTCCCTTCAGGAGCCCCTCCTCCCACCCCACTTCTAATCCCTGAAGGGAGGCTCTTGGTATAAACCCATGGTCCTCCTAGCCCTTCCATTCCTTTCTCCTGAGACTTACTCTTAGTCCTGCTGCCTTCTCCCCCACCTCCTCCCTGGGGACTCTACCACTTGCTGCAGACCCAGGGTCCCCTTATCCCTTCCCACTATCCCTTCCAGCCTTCCTTCTAGCCCATCTCCAATCCTTTATGTCACCTAGCAAGCCACAGGAACAGTTTCTACTCAAGACACACGTGCTGAAACACAGGCAATGTTCATTATCCTCCTTGCCCTCCATTCTGGTCTTTCTAGAATTGCTGTTAGTCCTATAGCAGCCTGCAGAGATGCTCTCCCACTCTAGCTTCATTCCCTCGGAACAACACCTCTTTGTGGACCCTGGTCCCTCTAGCTCTTTCCAGCTGCTTTTCTAGGCCTTTTCTCCTAGTCTGACTTCATTCCTTTGAGTTACCCTCCAACCCATAAAACCATTCTTTTCTACCAGGGACCCCAAATCCACCACACTTGGTTAGGACCTAGAGTAGGCAATAGCAACCAAATAACAGAGCATCCACACAACAAAGAGGAGACCAGTTAGTCACACTGATACACTTCAAATATCATTACTCTAGATGCCTAGACTCCAGTGCAGAATCACAAATATGAACAGTAAAACAATATGCCTCCTCCAGCAGCCAGCAACCCTATTGCAATAGGTCCTGAGAAGCAATTTAGCTGAAGCACAGGCAAGGACTTCAAATTCACAACAATGAATATGTTCAAGGATCTTAGAGATAATATGAATAAATAAATGCCTTCATGAAAACACAAATAGTTGAATGAAAACATTTCAAGACATAAAAGTGTAATTTAACAAAGAAATAGAATCACTAAAGAAAATTGAAACTGAAATATAACCCAAAGTAGAAATTAAATACTGTAGAATGTCAAACAAAAACTCAGAGTTAAGCCTCACCAACATATTAGGCCATGTGCAAGAGAATTTCAGTTACCGAAGACTGTAAGCAGGCACAACAAGAAACTGCTATACAAAGCCACTCCATGGAGAGAAAAGCAGTTCATCGGGGCAGACTACTGGACTGCCTCGGGTAGCAAAGGACAGGACCTGCCACAAATGCTTGTTGGTTTTATATGGGTAGATGACAAGGGGAGACAATTTGGGGGCTGGAACAGCCAGGTGGTCAGCATGGGGACTGTTTTAGAAAGATAAGGTACTACAGTTGAGGTTAGGAAAGATCAGCTGTCTCTTAAAGGCTTCTGAAAAATATTTTAAGGTTTCTGTTTCCTAACATATCCAGTCCACATGGAGGTGCAGCCCCATCTTAAAACTTATCACTAGGACTGCCATTATGGGGCCAGTTTTGTGACCTAACAAAGACAAAGTAGAAAATGTATAGCTTAGTCAAAGTGTTAAATCATTGTTGTTGGTATATGGGTGTGCTGTTTTGTTCATATGTGTGTTTGATACAGTTCGAAATCAGTAAACCTCTCACTCTGTCTGTTAAGAGTCTTTTGTACCTCTAAATCCCCCATTTAGTATATATTGGCCATCTATTAGTATAGCTTTTGTTGTGTTGGTATATATTCCTTTTTTCCTAGTATCCTTGGAATATTTGTCACGAAGTGACGTTGAACTTTGTCAAGGTATTTTCTGCATCTTTTTAGATTATCATGGAATTTATAGTGCTTAATTTGTGTGCTGTGTTACATTTGTTGATTTGTATATGTTGAGATATTCTTGGCATCTATGGAATGAAATTCACTTGATTATGGTATACAGTCTTTTTAATATATTACTTAATTTCAGGAGCCATCGGCGGCCACAGGCCACATTTAGCTTTCTGTGTGTGTGTCCTTGGTAGGTTCTTACTCACCCAAGAGATACCCTGAGACTTTTCATCCTGGGGTACCTAATGTCTAGGCCACAAGTTGGCCCCCAAGTGCACAGAAAGTGGGGGAAGCAAACAGCACAGAAATCTATCCTGGATTGGGAGAACCAAGGGAAGCTGGCACTTTACCTGTATGTCTCAGTGTTTCATGTCCCACCCGGTGCCTAAGCAATAGATAAAACTGGAGGTGAAGTAATTCACAGGACTTGGCCTCAGAGCTCTGGCTCCTGTTTGGCAGCAAATAACACAGCAGGGAAGCCGCTTTGGAGTCCCTTAGCCATGAACTGAGATCTAGCTATGTCCACTATGACCTTAACTTGAAGGGATTTACACCTCTACTGGTATAAAGGTGGCCCTGAAACCACATTTTCTATTGCCTAAATGTAATGCACAGCGTGTTTCTGGGATTCCTGAATTGTGATGGCCCCTTGTTTTCAGGTCTCCCTAGAATAATAGTTCAGTCTCAAACAATAGCCCATTAAATAATTTTTTGAGAGGCCTTCTTACTATTTTTCACAATACCTGTGGTAATTTAATTGCCATCACAGTTGTTGAAGGTGTTACTTTTGAACCACAACAGCATTTAGAATTGTTTTTTGATATGAGCCATTCTTACTGGGTTGTGATGATACCTCATTCTGATTTTGATTTGGTTTTTACCCTAGTTGGTGACATTGAGCATTTTTTTCATATGCCTATTAGAGATTTATATGTCTTCTATTGAGAAATGTCTATTTAGAACTAATAACCATTCTATTTGGTTTATTTGACATTACTTGTTGTGGGGTTTTTTTGAGTTCCTGGTATAGTCTAGTATGGAAAAACTGCTAACAAATGTTTTCTCCAATTCTCCTGTCTCAACACTCTGCCAATTTTTTCCTGTACAGACGTTTTCAGTATGATGGTATCCTATATGTCCATTTTTCTGTGCTTTGGATATCATACCAAAAATATTTAAGTGTTTCTCTTGTGTTTTCAAGTACCCTCAAAGCTTCATGTTTTATATTTTTGTTCCACTTTGAGTTGACCTTCATACAGCATGAAAAGAGGTCAAGTTTCTGTATTTTTAATGCAGCTTTCTTAGCATCATGTATTGAAGTGGCTAACATTTCTCCAGTGTATAATTCCAGTGCCTTTGTCAAAAAATTTTTTTAATGTCGTAGTTGCGTGAGTTTATTTCTATATATCTATTCTGTTCCATTGGTTTTCGCGTTTTTCTTCTAGGCCAATACCTTACGCTACTTTGGTTACTAGGTTTCAGTAGTATTTCTCGCGATCAGATGCTATTATCCTTCCAGCTATGATCTTTGTATGCCTTACATCTTTGACTGTATGTATTGTTTTGCATTTGTATTGAAATCCATTCATATGAATTTCAGGATTCTTTTCCTGGTTCTGTGAATACAGCCATTACAATTTTGACGAGGAGTGCTACATAATGCCTATTCCTCCTCCTCTATGTAAAATTCTTCCCCATCTTTACTGTTTAACTGTTTTAAATTTAACATTTATAGCATTGTAATTAAATCATCCAGCATTTTTTAAAACGTTTTCCTGGGCCTAGGGAGATGGCTCAGTATGTTAGACCACCTGTCATGCAAGCATGAGGATTTGAGTTCAAGTCTCCTGAACCAGTGTAAAAAGTTGGACATGGCACAGAGTGTGTATGTAACCCCTGGATTGCAGTAGACAGAGACAGATCCCTGGGGCTTACTGACTCCAGTCTACACCCAGATTCAATGAGAAACCCTGGGTTTCTGCATCATGGGTACATGCTTTAGGTATATTTTGTCTACTGATATTTCTTTCTAAAAAGTCATTTTGATGTCATATTTGTATTGATTTGCAGAATAATAAATCTAAGCTAAATTTAACTATTGCACATAGCTAAAATGGATTATTATGGGATTTCTAACTTAGGTCACTCCCTTAGAGTATTAGATTATTCAAAGATAAGACTTGTATGTGAATCTGACTGCCACTATTGTTCAGACAACTTCAGTATTAGACTTTAAAGTTTAACATTCTGGAAGTGGCTCTCTGAAATGGCACAGTGCCCTCTTGTGGCAAGAAAAATATTTTTAAAGGTTTGTTTTAAAAGATTTGCAGGGCAAGAAGTTGGGGATTTTGGTTTTTTTTTTTTTTCAAAAGATTTATTATTATAACCTTAATTATGTGGGGAGGTGGCTCTGTACTAATGAGTACATATGTCTGTGGAGGACAGAGGCATTATATCCCCCAGGTTTTAGAATTAAAGGCAGTATGAGCCTCCGGACATTGTTACTAGGAACTGAACTACTGACTATCTCTCTCTAGCCCCCATTTTAAAAGTTGTAGATCAGTTTCCCATGCCAAACCACACCCAGAACTTACTCCCAAAAGGTAATACTGCAAAATTATGAGTTCGTGTATTTTATTATTTCAGAACCAAGTGGATATGCTGCTTCAGGAAATGGCAGATGAAGCTGGGTAAGGTGTTGCTATTCCAGTGCTTTTGAGTAATCTTGATTTGATATTTAGAGGTTCTAAAATTTGATAATATGGACTTAATGTGTGGCTAGCATTTTTTGCCTAGTGTGTGTGAGGTCCTGGACTGAAGCATAAGCACTACTAGAAATTTGAGATGGATTGAAAAATTTGTCTTTAAAGCCATTAGTCTAACTTTTGTTTTTGACCCTTTATAGAGTTAATGTTTCAAGGGCTTACCTTTTTCTAGGCATTCTCACAAAAACACGACTTTTCAAACTATAAAGCATATTATTGAAAAATCTCTGGAGATAGTTCCATTCAGAGTATGATATTAAGAAATAGAGATGATCAAAGGGTAAAAGGATGTTAATACAGTTGCTTTCTGTCTGCTATGCACAGCATATGTCAATGCATAGAAATTGTCTAAAGATTTGGGGGGAAAGGCGATGATCAGGCCATTAACTCACAAGTCCACTGTGAATCTTAGAAACTAAACAATATGTGTAAATTGTACAAAGGACAAAAAATTATAAACATAACAGCTGGTCATTTGTTTTTCTTAATCCATCAGTATCCTTTTTCACACAGCTATTGTTATGTCTGGTGTCTGATATGGACGACTTACTTCAAACCTTTCATATTTAGGGGAATAACTGGACCATGATATCTGTGTTACAGACATCATGTTTTGTCACTGTTCTCTGTATTAATATTTAGATAAATACCATAGAAGTAAAAATAAAATGTTAGTCATGGTAATGCCTTAGACTTTTCTTTCAAACCTAGATTAATAAAGTGAAGTAAGGTTTACATATTCTAATATTTTTCTTCAAGAAAGAGAAAACTTAGATACTAAGAAAATAGAGTTGATAAATATTAGTGTCTAAAGTAATTCATGGTTAGAATGAACAGTGGGTAACATTCATCAATTTTTTGGAAGAGTAATGTATCATTAGTAAATTATGTCCATGGTAATAATGGCTACATAAGGTTTGCAGTGTTTGAGAGTCAGGTTTGGTGTTAGGTTGTGGACCATTTTGCTCCATTAGTATTGTGACAAGTCCACAGGCCAGCACAGGGGGGTAGTACAAAGGGGGATTTTTATCATACAAAAAACTAGGGCATTGTTTGTTACAAGACTCCATCTTAGGAATAAAAGACTAAAGACTTGCTTCTGTCTTTCCTAAAGACTTAATGAGAGGATTTGAACTTGAAACGATAGTGACAGAGATATTCTAAAATGAGCATTACCAAATATTATTATTGCCTTACCTACTATCAGTATTAAATAAAGGTCAGCTGGCAACTTTTTATAAGGCTAGAGCACAATTTCTCACCTTTAACAGTGTTGCCATTTTGGAGAGATTAAGATTAGGGTGTGTTTTAAGCATTGTGGGATGTTAGCAGCATCCTGGCCTCCATTCTCCAAAAGCCAGTAGTACCATTTCCCTCACTTGTGTCAGCTAAACATGTCGCTAGATATTGCTATCTCTTCCTGGGGAAAATGAGACCAGTATTGAGAAATTAATTAACTCAGTAACTGAAACAGGAGAAATAGGTAGGGCCACTGATATGTAAACATTAATGTCCACCATTAAGGATGTTTAGGTGTCCAGTTGTTTTTTTGAGTTAACTATTCTCATAATAAGATTTTAGTATATTGTGTTTGCCTTTCCAACAAAATCTGCCAGTAACATACCATAATGACTTTTAAAATGACTGTTTTACTTGTAGAGTATCCACAACAGAATGCGTTGTTTTAGAGACAGAATGAATAGTTTATATTCTAAAGGAATAGTGCAATAGAGATTAAGGGCATGGAGCTTGAAGGTAAGCAAACAAACAAATGTAGACCTATATAGATGCTATCTCATTCACTGAGAAGAATGGACGGAGGGAAAACTATAATCAAGATGTATTATATGAGAAAAGAATGTTTTCAATAAATGAAAAAATTATACTTAAGACAGTGAACCCCAGATGTGTAGTTGGATGAAATTCTTGGTTCAAGAATTGGTTCAAGGCCCTCTGAATCAATTGAGCAAGACTTGTATAACCTCAAAGAGGCTGAAACAGCAAGAGCAGCCTACGCAGTCTCCACTAGGTCCTCTGCATATATATTATAGCTCTCAGCTTAGTAGTTGTATGGGACTCCTGAGTGTGTGAGTGAGTGGGCCTCTGATTCTTGTACCTCCTTTTAGGGCTCTTTTCTTTCTGTGGGTTTGCCTTGTCTAGCCTTAATGTGATAGTTCTTGCTTTATCTTCTGATACTATTATTTTATTGTGTTATATTTTCTTGTTCTCTTGGAAGCCTGTTCTTTTCTAATGAGAGACAGAAAGGGAGTGGACCCAGAGGAGAGGGGAGGTGGGGAGAAAAAGGGACTGGAAGGAGTGGAGGGAGGGGAAACTATAATCAAGATATATTGTATGAGGAAAGAATCTATTTTCAATAAATGGAAAATTATACTTAAGATTTAAAACTTAAAAAAGCTAAATCTAAAATAAGTAAAATGAAAAACTCTTAAAAATTAATCAAAAAAGAAGAAGAAAGAAATTTCTGGTTGCTACTAAGAGAATTCAGGAGCTGAACACTAAAATGGAAATTCACACAAATATTAGATCTGTGTCCAAGGCTATATTTAAATAGACTATTTTGAATTTTTTTAGCAATTTATTAATTTGCCTTCACAGAGTAGGAGACAAATAATATCTGGGAAATAGAGTACAACAGATGATGATTATTTTGGTCTGTTGTCTAGTGTAGTAGATCATTTTGCAGTCTTTAATTAGCTTTTTTTATTTATTCCAATATTATACCACCTGTATGGATCACTATTTGGACACAAGAAAAAAAAATACTTCAAAATTATGTCATGTACCTAAAATCATTTTGAAGACATTCAACTTCTAGTCACATGTAAACATGGTTGTATTTTTATTTAAAGTGATAAAAGGATATAGTACTCAAGTGTGCAGTACCTATTTGATTATTATAAAACGTCTATATTAACATTCATTTATTCTGATAATTTTTCAATTTATCTTTAGCCTTGATCTCAATATGGAGCTTCCACAGGGTCAGACAGGGTCTGTTGGTGCAAGTGTTGCTTCTACAGAGCAGGTAGGGGTTGAATTTTATTTTGATTCATATTTAAATTAATACTTTTAGAAATGTATATTTTATATGAAATGTATATATTTGTATATAAGGAAATATATTCACATTTTTATAACGAATATTTTTCTACTGTGACACATTATCAAAATGAACAAATAATAATAGTAGGCATTTTCAGTTTGCATGTACACTTCGTCTTTTAGATTGTTTTGGTAACCTTCATAGCTGCTGTACTACGTGATTCAATTTCTTTTGAGATATTTAAGAAAACTAAATGCCTAATGTCTATATAAATTTTACAAACAAAATTTTAAGTTGTATTTAAAATGTAAGGAGTTTAAAATTTTTAGTGGTTTATATCTTGTACAGCCTTTGATGATTTGTCAATTTGGCTTCCTCTAGGATGAACTGTCACAGAGGCTTGCTCGTCTTCGTGATCAAGTGTAACTTAAACAATTGGCGCTTCTGTTTCCTCCGAGTGTGTCTGAAACATCCTTTGTGTGTACATGTATAAAGTTGCACTCTAGCTAGAAAAACACCACACATGCCAGAATGTTTGAACATTATTTATATATGATGTTTTCTTTTGACTTGTGTATTTTGCAGTGCATTAAGAAATTCCAGTGAATTTCAACATTGGCAGATTTTATAGTTCTGTATATTATGTGTAAAGGTGTATGGGGCATATTTTTGCAGATGTCTTTGACAAAGCTAGCATTAGTTTTCTGTATATTATACATCTTCCTCAAATATTAGAGCAAACATCTAGCACCAAAATACTACTAAGTAATTTTGTCAGAATAAAGGCTTTGTTCTTCTTTTTAATTGAAAGGAATTTTCAGCATTGTCTGTGATGAAATGTGATTTTTGTAAAAATAAAAACAGGAAAAGCATGTTTATTTAATGTTTATATAGTCCAAACCATCGTATTTTAAGAATCACAAAATAGACTTTTGTTTTCAGTGGGATTTTTAAAAATTATTTTTATTTTGTATGCGTGGTTATTTTGCCTGCATTTATAACTGTGTACTACTTGTGTGCCTGGTGCCCACAGAGGCCAGAAGAGGACATTGAATCCCCTGGAACTGAAGTTACAAACAGCTGTGAGCCAACATGTGGATGCTGGGATTTGAACCCAGCTCTTCTAGAAGAGCAGCCAGAGCTCTTATCTCTTGGGCCATATACCCATCCCATTTTGCTTACTTTTGTTTTAGATTTATTATTATTATTATTATTATTATTATTATTATTATTATTATTATTATTATTATTATTATTATTATTATTATTATTATTATTATTATTATTATTATTATTATTATTATTATTATTATTATTATTATTATTATTATTATTATTATTATTATTATTATTATTATTATTATTATTATTATTATTATTGAGACAGCAGTGATTACTATTACTATTACTATTACTATTACTATTATAGAGACAGCACGAAAATATGTAGCCCAGAGTAGCCTCTGTGTCTTGGTGCATGCCACCACACCCAGTTCATTTTTCCTGGTTTATGGGTTCTTTTCATTATGTGCACTAGTTATTTTTCTATTGCTGTGATAAAACACCATCTCAAAAAGTGGCTTATGGAAACAAGTTCTTTTGCTTTATGATTCCAGAGGGGTGAGGGTTCATCACAGTGGGGAGGCATGGCAGAATGAACATGAAGCTGAGCTGTCGCATCTTCAGTGGCAAACACAAAGCAGAGGGAACAAACTGGTTCTGGGACAGGGCCATAAGCTCTCAAAACCTACCCCAGCAGCATACTTCGTTCAGCAAATCTTCACATTCCCCAAACCTCACTGCCTACTGGGATGAGATGCATGAGCCTATGGACAATATTTCTCATCCATGCCACCACACTCCTCTCCCTATCTCCCATAGGCTTGTGGTCGTATCATAATGAAAAATGTGTGTATTTCAACTTTAAGGCTGACCGTAGTCTTTCTCAGTCTGAACACTGTTTCAGATTTCAAACTCCAGCATCTCTTGTAAGACTCAAGGCAATCTCTTAACTGTAGCCACCTATAAAATCTAAAAGCAAATAACGTACTTCCAACACACAATGGCACAAAATAAACATTGTCATTTTAAAAGGGAGGAATGGGGGCATAGTGAGGAAATACTGGACTGCAGAAAGACTGAAACCTCGTGGGACAAACAAGCTAAACCTGTAGCTCCATGTCTGATGTCTGAGACTTTCCCTTCAAAGGGCTTAGATGGCTTAACCTTTCCAGCTTTGCTGTCTGCAACAGCCCACTCTCTAGTACCAATTTCTATGTTAGTCACTTTCCTGTTGCTGTGATTAAGCACCATGGCAGGAAGCAACTTAGAGATGAGTTTATTTTGGCTTACAATTCCAGAGGGAAAAGAAAGAGTCCATCAAGGCAGGGGAGGCTTAGAAACAGGAGCATGAAGCTGAGAGATCACATCTTCCATGGCAAACATGAAGCAGACTGAGCAACCTGGGAGTGGGGCAAGGCTGTACACTCTCAATGCCTGTCCCAGGTGATGCAATTCTTCCTTCAACGTTGCACAATAAACTGTACCATAACCTTCCCAAACAGCACAACCAACTGGTAATCATAGTTTCAAATATGTGTGCTTGTGTGGGACCTTTCTCATTCTAACCACTGCAATATGTAAGGAGAAACACAGTACTTACTTACTTTGTTTTCATCAGCTGTTAATTTTCAATTACTAAAATTTTATCCAGTAATTTTATGATGACTATTGGTTAAACTTTTAAGACCTTTTTGTTGACAATATGTTACATAACTAGGAAAATTATGCAAAATTAATCTGAAGAAATTAAGGCTTGATAATTTTTAAATTTTCTGTTTGCAACATATGGTTGCAATCATTCCCAGAAAGTGCTTTTTCCTGGCACCTCCTAGGCACTTGGCCATGTCTAGATGAAGCTGAATAATTCCTTCCTAGCCTGCAGCTGGCAGAAATTCATGGAAGTAGACAATGAATACAAACATTGTACTTTCTATGATAAATGCATGGCCAAAGATGTAGCTGCTGATGCTCTGGCTGAAGAGTGGACAGGTTATGTAGTCTGAATCTGTGATGAGAATGACCTATTGCCAGAGTGTTCCTGCTGTTGAGTAAAGGTCATTCTTGTTGTAGGCCAGGGAGAACTAGAGAAAGAAAGCATAAGTCTGTTCATGGATGCACTGTAGGTTGTTGTGGGATATTTTGAGCACACTCTGACACTTCCAAGACTGAAAATAAAGCTTACCTTAAATCAGAGGGTGGATCTAGCTATTACCTGACCAGGATTAGCAATGGAGGTTGATAAACCAAAGCCCTTAAGAGAACACACCTTTGAACACTTGCTGTATTACTTGTAATATTCTTGAGAATACTTATATCTTACCAAGCTAAAATAAATACTTTAGCACTTGCCTGTATTTTTGACGTTGCAGTATCCATTGTGGGAAAGTAACAAAATTATATTTTAGCAAGTATAATACTAATCTCAGCTAAGCATATGTTTTCCTTTATTTACTGAAAGACCAGTCCATGAAAAAAATTGTAATACATTTTGAAATTCAGTAAAAGAAAAAGACCCTGTGTTCCATCCCCAACACCAGAAAATGTTTCCCTTATAAATCATAAAGGTATTCAAAATGATACCACAGAGATACTTTTTCACTAAATACTCAACTATTCATATATTCTATATCTTATGCACAAGAGTGTATGTAAATGAAAATTGTACTTACTGGTTACTAGGTGAAGAACTTCTCTTGCTAATTTTTGTTAAACTTTTAACTTCCATAGTGTTTGATTATATGATTATAGCCATAATATATTTTTATTTGTAATTGATTTGTCCTTAAAGTTTGTATTGGAGCATACTAGATAACCATAGAAGTGATTTTGATGGGCTAAAATATTTATGACAAAGAATTTGTTTTCCATGGGTGGCAATTAAATAGCTTCTGTTCCAATGATGGCTACCTTAAATGCCATCCTAGAGCCTTCATCCAGTAGCTGATGGAAACAGAAGCAGAGATCCACAGCCAAGCACTGAGCCAAACTCCTGCAATCCAGTTTCAGAGAGGGAGGAGGGATGAACAAATGGATCAAGACCATGCTGGGAAAACCCAAAGAAACAGCTGACCTGAGAAAGTGGGAACTCATGGACCCCAGTCTGACAGCTGGGGAACCAACATAGGACCAAATCAGGCCTCCTGAATGTGGGTGTCATCTAGCAGCTCTGGGCAGTCTACGGGGCCTCTGGCAGTGGAACCAGGATGTATCCCTAGTGCACGAACAGACTTTGGGAGCCCATTTCCCATGGAGGGATACTCTCTTAGCCTAGATACACAGGGGAGGGCCTAGGCCCTGCCCCAAATGACTTAATAGATTTTGATGATCCCTCATGGACGGCTTCACCCTCCCTGGGGAGCGGATGGGGAATGGGATGGGGGTGGTGGTGAGGGGCATGGGAGGATGGGAGGGAGAGGAAACTGGGATTGATATGTAAAATAAGACTGTTTCTAATTTAAATAAAATCTATAAAAATAGCTTCTGTTCTTTTAACGTGAATAAAAATTGTTAGGTTTCTTACTACCACATAGCTCCACAGATAACTAACTGTTCATCCTTTTAGGTTGCAACCATGCCAGATTTGCTTTTTAGAAGTATTAATATTGGGTCTGGAGAGTTAAGATCTCATGCTACTGTTAGAAGAGGACCTGAGTTTGTGTGCCAGCAGCCACATCAGTCAGTTCACAACCACCTGTTAGTAACTCCAGTGGTCTTTCCTGGTCCCCTGCACTCATATATACAGATGCACACAGACAAACATACACATAATTAAAAAATAAAGACATACCAGGCATGGTGGCACATAGCTTTAATGCCAGCACTCAGGAGACAGGCTGTGAGTTCCAGGCCAGCCTGATCTGCATAGTGAGTTCCAGGCCAGGCAGAGGTACACAAGGAAGACATGTCTCAAACAATATTTGGAAAACATTGATAAGGCAGGTAAGATAGTTTAGCAGATATAGGCACTTGCCACCAAGCCTGTTGACCTGAGTTCAGTCCGTGTGACTTCAAACTATCCTCTGACCTCCACACACATTCCATTGAATGTACACATCCACTTATGTACACACAAATACAATTTTTTAATTAAGAAATACATTGATGGACACAAGTTTTGCTTTTACTCATTCTTTTATTAGTGCAATAAAAATGTACCTCTTAGACTTTATTCCTAAACCTCAGAGACTTCAGTATAATTTATTTCTAATTTGATAATGACTTCAAAAAATTATAAGTAACACATCAGACTCTACGATCATGAAAAGTAAAATAGTATTTTTTTTTGCATTTGCTTCAGTTTAGTCCTCCATAAATCTCATGTTCCTCTGATGTGTTTTCTAAGAATTTGTTGGTAGCATTTGGTTGAACATATATACTCAAATGTTCAAAACATACTGTTGCACTTTGACCCATTGGATAAAGAGGCTGATGATAATTCCCCATTTGTTCATGGGTCTTAATGCTTAAAATCCATCTGCTTGCCTGTGAACCATTTTAGGTAGTAATAGGTACTAGGCTATTTTACCTGGTTAATTGGTTTCTCAGGAGTGCCACGTGGAGAAGGAATGGAAATGGTAACTATGAGAAGTGAGTTTGCTGTGCTGTTTAGGTAGGGGCATATGAATTATTTGGAGAAAGCAAAAAAAATGATAGATTAACAGAGGCTTGCGGCTAATAATTTCAAAATACACTGAAAAAATGGTCCCCTTTTAAAAACCTAATGGGACCTGGAGACATGGCTCAGCAGTAAAGAGCACTGGTTTCTCATTCAGAGAACATGGGTTCAGTTTCCAGCACCCACAAAAAACGACCTTCTGTAGCTCCA